GGGGGCAAGCAGCCTTAGTTCCTGTTGCTGTCGAAGCTGTAATTGTTTGGCATCCAGTTCTTTTGGATTCGATTATTTGGGGGTGACCGTGTCTAGTGTGATTGTCATAGCAGGAGCGATTCCAGACCGCAGCATCGCCGAGGAGACATTTTGATGGTTGGTAGCCAGCTACCGCGGATTTCTGGTAGTAAATACTAGAACAACCGCCAGTATCCGGTCGTCTTCACGTGAAAAAAACCCGGTATATGTATAAGGCGAGTTCTTACCAATTAGTAAGGAAGCCTTATCAACCCGTTGTTACAAGATTACTGAATGATTAATTTTTTAATGATGATCTTTCGTATACTTCTGATCCAAAAATCATATCCGCGGAGATAACTCAGAAAAGCGAATAGATTAAATGAAAGGGAAATGGGTCACCCATTGTAAGTTTTACCATTTTAGATGATTTCCTCCTATTTCTGCCCGATTGTCTCCTCATCTTCGTGGCAGAAGTTGCCGTGGACTGGGTGAAGCATGCCTTCATTTCCAAGTTCAACGTCATCCCTTCAGACGTGAGTCACTCTCTGCTCTTTTATTTGCTCCGCTGTCCTTACTTTTTCAATCGCCCTTCTGCGGTTTCCCCTCAAAGTTCTATGGGCTCCTCTGACTAGCTTTTTGCACACCCTGTTCTCTTTAAAAACAGCACACTCTGTGTGCATAGCATTTTGAAGTATCAGTACATCTGTACACCGACCATATACAGGACACACCTGCCCTGCTATTACCCGGTACAATTGCCCCGGTGTACACATATGTACTAATCTATATCCCCGACCAACAACCGGCAAACTGCTGGGCCCGATGGCTCGATGGATAGGGCGTTCGCCCCTAACCGGAGTGACGCGGGTTCGAAACTCGAGTGTGGCGGCAATTTTCGCGGCTACACTGGAGCGAGGTAACTGCACCTGATAACACCTAATGAGGCAGAAACAGCTATCCTGTAATTCCTCATGTTTGCCAGTAATGCGTAATAATTTTGAAGTATCTCAGAAAATAGCAAATTCCTATTCCACTAGACCCCACTAATACTACCTCAATTGCCTGTAGTATCCGACCATGCCAGTAACATAAAACATCGCCACTACCACAATCTTCATAAATCAGAGGAGTAAGCACTGTCGCCGGTGAAGTATTGATCTGGATTTCGACG